CCATTCCTCTGAATGCCAATCTCAGATGCCTGCTCCTCCGAGCGACTCCTTTTCTCTACATCTCCATGCCCGTTTTCCCCCCAAACGGTCGCGCGTGCTGACTGCTCTCAACGTAGTCCCGCTAGGTCCCCTACGTTTGCACGTCAAGTGTTTCTATGAGTGCTTGTCCCGCTTTGATACCATCTGTCACGGACTTAGCTGGTTTTGCCTAAGTCGTGCAGCACCTATGCGCGTCCGTCCGCAAATGTCAGCCTCCCCAAAACCTCCCATGGTCCCTTAGGACCTACAAAAGAGAAAACAAATTAGAGAAAGCGCCTCACTCAGGATCCACAAGCAAACATTTCAGAAAACACTTCATAGACAATGCAAATTACAAACAGACTTTACAAGTTCTGAACGGTTGCACAACAAAGGGTCAAAATGGTCCACTACAGACCGATTATCTCTCACAAGTGTCCACATAACACAACATTTATTTACAAGCCTTAGAAGGTCACCAAACCCAACTAAAATGGGGTTGTTATGCCTTCGACCGTTCCTCTACATACTGTGCAAAGCATGAACAAACAGAAAGACACGGACATACATAAGTATTATGTCAAACATCCTGTTTAGAACTTTGTCCGTGACAATCTAGTACCTGAAGTTTATTGGACAAAAGCCTCATTCATGCCTTATTGGGCAGCATGCCTAGTATAAACTGATACCACCAGGTAAGGGCTGGTCTGTGTGTCAATTTAGGCTCATACCAGTAAACATCAATTGGCATAGACATTTAGCAATGGTATTTTAAACTTTGGTTGCAGCTAGTTGAGTGGTTACATGGATCTTTTCCCACCATCTCTTAAGGCCAATATAACTAGTCACAGAAAGAGCTAATGAATCTATTCCAATGTTTTCTAATACAGTTTTCTTAGATGTTCCTTGCTGCTTCTCCTGCCACTAATTAACAGCAACTCACCTTGGTCTAACCAGTGAATCTCCTTTGGAAATGCACAAACCACCTTAAATAATATTTCCTCATTTTTTCTTAATTGGAACTTAATTGTTCGTGTATATATTTTTTATTGTACTCTTTTAGTAACCCTATCATCACATCTTAGGTGTACTAAATTATTGGTTATATTATTCCCTAATCATCCAACAATTTGATCCATATTTATATTGACCATAAAATTGTTACATAAAAATTTGGAACTTTTGATTAAGTGCATGCTAGAAGTTAATGTTTAATCCAAGGTATGCAATACCGTACCATACCGGTGTTTCGAGGTTGGCTCGGTACGGTACGGTACCAGCATACTAAGTGGTACATTAGGGCGTACCGAACGGTACACCAGAGCTTACAGAGCGATTTTCTCTTTCCATAGCAACTGTAGCATTGTCCATCCGGTAACAGGCGAAGTGCTACAGTGTATTACTGTAGCACTGTTGCACGGTCCGTCCGGTAGCGGGTGGTTCACATATCGGTATACCGTCGGACTGGTACATACCGCCCGTATCGGGCGGGTACCATTCGAAATTGCATACCATGGTTTGATCTATAGTATACTTGTTTTATCCACTTATTTTAAGCTTGACTTGTATGGTTTGATATGGTTTGTATCATAGATTGAACACTCAGTATTTATTTGTCCAACAAAATTTAAGTCATGGACTGTGCAAAATCATCTTGTAGGTAACTTCCCAGTTCAGTTCGATATTGCACATATTGCTCGGAGAGGTAACCGGTACCGAGCTATACTAGCATGGGTATCAATTCTACATTATATGCTTATAAACGGAAGCCCTTGAGGAGTCTATCAACAGTCCCCATTATCATTCAACATTGTAGACATTTATGAACCCTCAAACCCCAAGCAATTATTTTGCAGCTTCTCTTCTCCTCTCTCTCCTTAGCCTCCGCTGTCGCCATAGCCTTCTTCACCTCTGCCCCTACCTCTGCATGTGCTTCCCTGTTGCTGTTGCCTTCTGTTCCTTTGGTATAAGTTAATATGGCCATTGCCTCATATTGCTGTCTCCAAATGTCATTATCACTTTAGTGTCATGGACTTACCTAGAATTGCTGGAGTCGTGAGGGACCAAAGTGAAAATCCAACAAGGTTAGCCTAAGTTTCAATTTTGTGTAGTGCTAAATGACCTGCAAAGAAGAAAAGGGTTAGTCAAAGAAGTAATGACAAAAAAAATGCCACTATTGCCTATAAAGCACACGAAACAAAAAATTAAAAGCAATGGGGAAGTTAATTAGCCTAAAAGAAGACAAGTGCAGTTTCGAACACTAAACAGAGAACTTGATGGAGTCTCATGCTGAGACGGCTGATGTTTTCTCCACCAACTAGTACACTGAAAACCAGCTGTGGCACGCACGAAAAAGTCTTTTTTGGCTGCTTCAGCCTCGGATTGCTAATGATCGACAAAATAGTCTATAAACTGCATATACAACAAAAAAAGTAAATTACAAGCCCAAATGAGGATGTTGGTCTACCACATGCCTTGTTATTTATAATTGTACATGGAAAAGGGTAACAGCAAACAGAAGATGGATTGCACGGTTGTGGGCTTGCTATGGTTGTCCATGATCTTCTTCTCCATTTAATTCATTGACCCCCTCGTCAATGTTCTTTGGAAGCATCTGATGATCTGTTCTTCATGGGGTAGAGCATCTTCTAATTGACAATTGGCCTTTATCTTGGGAGGCACTTCAACAAGTCAATTTGGTTCGTTCCCGAGGGAATTTTATGCCTACAATATGCCAATATGGCTTCAACTCAACATTTGTATAACATATGTGAGGGGATGACGAGTGAGATGCTTCTTGATGGGTTCTAAAGAAGTTTTGCATTTTAAACCATGTTGAGAGTTGTGCTCCATATAAGACATTGCCTGTCCTTCCTGTGATTCGAAGTAGTTCAAACTCGGTGAAGTAATTGAAGATCTAGTTGACCATCCATATCGGGAATCAATTCCGAAGTGGGAGAATCTCTTAGACCTCTCAAATAATTTGTTGGATGACAGATTGTTTCAGACCTTGTTTTTTGTAACCTGGTTCTTCCGAGGGGCAAGACTAGGCAAGCAGATGTCAGTGCCAATCAGATGACTGAAAAATCAGAGTTGGTAGGGTCTTACAACAAGCTAATGGTGGTGGCCACACTGAAAAGTCATAGTATGATTGGCAGAAGATCAAATGCTTCATAAGACTAAGGCAATTTATCAGAAGAGGTAAGACATTGCAACTACATTGATTCTAGGAAAGACTCGACTAGCTAAGAAGAACTTGGTCGAGAAAGCATCAACAGAAGGCCATGAACATTAGAGGAAAAGGAAGGGCATGGTACTATAGCAGCTGGTCTTTTGAGTGTTGACCAAATTTGTGCTCCTGAGGGGAGAGCATAAGGTGTTTGACATACATCCATGACCCTTTTTGGTGTTGTTTTTCATTGTTTTTCAGTGTTTCAAATGTACGCAGCTTGTATGGGGCATGAAGTATTATTGTCAACCCCATTTTGCTTTATTGATGATGTTTTTGTTTTCTTTTTCTGTCTTGTAAAATTTGAAGATGTTTTCGGTTGTGCAGTGTCATGCAGAGGTAATATTACCAAAACAACCCTATATTTGACACCCATAGGCTGATTCTAGTTGACGGTCTTGTGTTACGAAATGTCACTGTCGTGGCACACAGGAACTTAGGTGGCACTAGGTTGGATGGGATTTTTGTTATGTGTTTGGGGGGTGGTGCAACATTTTTAGTATGCTTGTTTTTGTTCGACGAAAGTGCCAAATGAACATTGGGCTTCCACCTATCTTCGAAACCCCTTTACATGTGTGACTGTATAACCTGTTTCTCAGTGCTTTTGCGCATAATAAAAACTAATCGCTTTGGCCTTTGTGTTGCTTGCGATCCCAACAATCTTTTAATTCATGTTAAGGTCTAGGCTGACTCTTGTGTAAGTAATGAATCAAGATTATAATTCATGATATGTGTTCTCTCTGCCATATCATCATTCCAAATCTTTTTTCCTCTCCAATAACATTGTTTTGTATCCATCTCTTTTTTGTTGATTTTGGAGTAGCCCATGATCACAGAACTATTCTTTCCTTGGACAGCTCTAAGCTACATAAGTTTGCTTGTGAAATAATGTGTTCAAATCTCTAGTAATGGACTTATTAAAGAAAAGTTATTTTCCATAACCATCTGATACATTTTGCTACTCCAAGAGATGAGCCTTTCTTTTTTAAAAAAAATGCTAAATGTAGTAACTTGCTTGTTTCCATACTGAATTCTGTCAAGTTTGATTAATTTATAATGTCCTAATGTCTAATTTCTCAGAGATTTGGAGTCAAACAGAAGGAGAAGATTGCATCATTCAAGACTTCAGTTGATGTTCTCACACTGTCTGCAACTCCTATTCCACGTACTCTTTACCTGGCATTGACTGGATTCCGTGATGCTAGGTAACAGATCTTTAGGAATATCACATCTGAGTTTATGTTTTCTAATATGGTTTAGTCTAGCAGCTAATGTATCTCAGACGAGTTTTGAGTTGATTTAAATATGACTCTGATTCTCTTTATCAAGCACAAGGTCATTGTGCATATAGAACACAAAAAACTGCAAGGTTTAGTTCTCTATCTAATAGGTCCATCTGGAACATGGACCTATGGTTTTTATCATTCTGATTCATCATCCCTGAAACTCGTAAGTGATATTGGTGGATTCATCATCCTGATTCATTGATGCATCCCTTTAATGTCTTCTTTTCATTGTACTATGATGATAACAACCATGACTATCGTTCGAAGAACAGTTAGTAGAAAGGGCTTCTGGAGTTCAAGAAGGGTTAGAGTTAGAATTTATCATGGAGAAATATATTTAGCTATTCATTTTTTTCTTTTTAGCTGATTCACTTCTTGTCATATTTGACCATTGAACTTAATGATACATTTTTTTTCCATTACAGTTTAATTTCAACACCACCTCCAGAAAGAGTTCGTATAAAGACCCACTTGTCATCTTATAGTAAAGAGAAGGTCTTATCAGCAATTAAGTTTGAGCTGGATCGAGGTGGTCAAGTTTTCTATGTTTTACCCCGAATTAGAGGTATTTTTTGCTCTAATTTACTTCTTCTATTAAAATAAATAATTAAATATTTATCTTATTTTCATGTAGATCTCTTACTTACAAAGATTAGATAATGTACTTTGTATTTCACAGTACCGGTGATGCACAAAAATACACTTGTATTATATATTATTCAATAATCTGAATACATTTGCATACATTACATGCATGACAAAAAAGATATAGTTAGTGCAGAAAAGGTAATAGATGAAATCAATCATCACCGTATTCAAGAAATGATAACATACTAAGCCTAATGTATTCTTACTCTTCTTAGTGACATCATGAAACATCAGGCATTTGCAGTACATGCATGACCTCAGGATGTTTCTTATTGCAGCAACAACATTGATATCACTGTAAATGCAGAAAAACAAAGTAAAAGGTTTTTTGAGTGTAAGGATAAACTGGAAAGGGACCCAATTATCAGATGAATTCATTTGGTTTCATTTAGAGCTGCAACCAAACTATATCATGCCTAATTAGATGAATTCATGTCACAAGGTCTAGTTTAAAGGCAATACAGAATAAGTCATTATATTCCTTCAAAATTAGTGATTTTTATATTTGTCCTCTAAAATTATGTTTGACATAAATACCCTGCAAATCTAAAAGCTTGCATATGTGCCCTTATAGTTAATCTGTTGGTCAATTTCCATTTGATTGCTAGTAGAAACTCTAAATTATATTAATACCTTTGGAAACTTCTGCTGTTTTATTATTATGATGGCAACAAGTTAATGATATTTTATGTATTTTATATTTTTATTCTCTTAAACTCAGACTAGCTAATAGTAACCATACATATTAGTCGTTAACAAGGTCTTCTGAATGGGTGCTGATGTGAGGTATGTGGAGGATGTTAATGAGTGGAGGAACTTGTATACTATATCAAAATTTGTTAAGGAAAATAAGCTATTTTTAAACTTTTCAAGGTCAGATATGTACAAACCACAATCATAATTGACTGAGTAAAATCTGTTAGACCCAAATTAAGCCCAATAAAATCAAGTTAAGATGGATTTGAGTTATAATTAAGCCCAATAAAATCAAGTTAATATCTCATTTTATAGCTTATGAAACATGTAATCTTTTTTTCTTTCCCATGGGTTTTGACATCGTTTTGTTGCAAATTTTTTGTTACAGGATTGGAAGAAGTAAAAGATTTTCTTGAGGATTCATTCCCCAATGCTACAGTTGCAATTGCTCATGGAAAGGTTGGTTATTTTATTCTGATACAAATTTGCGTAAGTTTTGGCTGAATTTCTTGTCTTCATTTGCATTATGGAAAACTTGAAAAATAGCTTTTCTTAGGGAGCTTATTAGTTGTTAGTGTTTTTTCTTTGTGATCTTAGCTTGTGTTCGGTTATCCATTTTCCAAAGGGGATGTGCCTCTGGTTCTATCTATTCTGCCAGCTCTTTTAATATTATACATTGAAAATAAGTCTTTAGTGCTCCAAAGCAGCACGTTACTATATCTGGATGACTAAGTCTATGATAATTTTTTAGATAAATTTGAAATGGGAATTGTTCTTTCTAATGTTAATTTTGCTAGTTACAAAATTTTATGCTATAACTGATAAGCCTGCTGTAATTCACTAGCCTTGTTTCAGACCTGAACTTTGGTAAATAATTCCAGTAAATGTAATTCTATAAAACATGTTCAATATTTATGTTTTAGAACAAACATACTGCATCTACTAGGCTTTTGACAAGCTCGATTTCAGGTCTCGTTTATTGAAAATTTGAAATATAAATAATTTATGTTGGATGTGTAATGAATAAAACTATTCATACTCATACTTTATGTCATATTACAACAGCAACAACAATAACATAATCGTAAGTCTTAACTATTTGGAGTCGGCTACATAAATATTTTGTCGCTATTGAGATCTGTAAAAAGTCATATGCTTTGTTAAGTTCAAAGTACTCAAATTTTTATTTATAGTTTCTATATAGTTTCTATTAAAGTCTTTTTGGTCTTCCTCTACCTCTCATTGTACCACTAACATTAATTACTTCACCTCTTCTGACCACCGCATCTGAAGGTCTCCTCAGCACGTACTCATATCATCCTAAATGATTTTATCGTATCTTTTTTCTCTATCGAAGCTATACCTAGTTATTCACAAATAAAAGTATTTCTTTTCCTATCTTTCCTAGTAACTCCATATATCCATCTTAACATTCTAATCTTAGTAATACAAACTTTTTATATATTTTTTTCTTAAATACTCAACACTCAAATTCATAAAGTATCATTGGTCTCACAATTGTCTTATAAAATTTTCTTTTTAATCTCAAAGGTACTCGATGATCACACAAGACTCCTGATGCCCATCGTCATTTTAACTATCCCGTTTTTACTTTATGAATAATATTTTCATCAATTTCTATCTTGTTGAATAATTGATTTAGGATACCTAAAGCTCTTATTTAAAGGGATTTCTTGTCCATTCGTTTAACTATATTCTCTTGTTTATTTCTAAAATCACTAAAATTATATTTTATATATTTGGTTTTAGTCCTACTTAATCTAAAATATTTAGTTTCTGAAGCTTGCCTCCGTAGCTCAAACTTATAATTAATTCCACTTAGACTCTCATCAACTAAGATAATAATATCATCAGCAAATAACATACACCATGGAGGTCTATCCTGTAAGTGACTAATAAATTTATCCATTATCAATGTGAAAATATAGGGATTTAATGTGGATCCTTAGTATAATCCTATACCAATAAGAAACTCACTAGACACATTCTCTGTAGTTCTAATACTAGTAACTACATTATCATATGTATCTTTAATAACATCAATATAATTAGTGAATCTATCTTTCTTTGTTAAAACCCACAATGATAAATCTCTAGGAACCCTATCATAGGCTTTCTCTAAGTCAATAAAAACTTAATTTGTATTGAAGAAAGAAAAACCTAATCTAGGTAAGTTGAATATCAGCTGTTAGTTCGTTAAATGTAAAATATTAAATTCTTATGTTGATTTTTTTGTTAAACTCTTATTCTCTTATTCTGAAGAAAGAATTCTTTGTTAAATTGTCAGCAATACTCAAAGCAGCTGGAAAAAACAATGGAGAAGTTCTCTCTTGGAGAAATCAAGATTCTTATTTGCACCAATATAGTTGAAAGTGGACTAGATATCCAAAATGCAAACACCATAGTAGTTCAGGACGTTCACCAATTTGGCCTGGCTCAATTGTATCAGGTTCTTATTTCTGTTTCTCTTGTGCAAAAGCAAGATGATATCATGCATTAATTAGTTTAACATTGACAACCAAGTGTATTCCTGTTAGTATGAAGCTATCCACAAAGCAAAAATCAAGTTGGAAAGCTCCAATCTTTCCATTGTTTTCAGAAAAATAGTACAATAAAATAAAAAAATTTCTGATTTTGTTGTAGGGAAGTAGTACACCAAGAATTCATTAAAATGTCTTTGGTACTTAAGTGTACAAGCAGATGCTGCAGAAGATGACTTGTTTATAATTACTCTGAAAGCACCAACCATTTATGACACCTTTCTTATTAGGATTTAATGGGTGTTGTTGCTTGTCCACCACATAAATCCCTGAAGGCTCATTACTTATGTCATTTTGCTTCTGATCTTCTAACATCTTTTAATAGCTTCGAGGAAGGGTTGGACGAGCGGATAAAGAAGCTTATGCATATTTATTCTATCCTGACAAATCGTTGTTATCCGACCAAGCTACGGTGGGTATTCTTGAGACTTCGGTTCCTACAAAAGAATTTTATATGCAATGGTAAATTAGGCTTGAACATTATTCTCACATGATAATAGCAATGGATGTTCTGAGCTTTTGTACTTGGTTTGTGTTTCTGTAAGTTGGTTCTGTTTCTTAAAGAACAATATTTGAAAATTCCTTTTCTCCACTTACAATTGATTGTTCCTTTATTACAGGAAAGACTTGCTGCTATTGAGGAGTATGGGGATCTAGGGCAAGGCTTTCATCTTGCAGAGAGAGATATGGGAATAAGAGGATTTGGGAATATATTTGGCGAACAACAGACTGGTGATATTGGGAATGTTGGTATTGACCTTTTCTTTGAGATGCTCTTTGAGAGCTTATCTAAGGTTTTATCCTGTTCTCTATGATCTTTTATTTAATATGTAAATACTTGCTTTCAACATTTGCAATTATAATACCTGGACTATAATAGTGTAACTCCAGAAAACTCAGAAGTTGCTAATTTTTCTCCCAGGTTGAAGAGAATAGACTCCTTTCAGTTCCTTATAACAGAGTTCAGGTACCAGTAACATATTTTTATCAAAATTAAACATTTGTGAGTATTTTGAGATCAGATTTTAAGGTATTTGAGACCCTTGCTTCCTCTTTGGCAGCTTGATATAAATATAAAACCACACCTCTCCTCTGAATACATAACTTATCTTGATAATCCTTTGGAACTTATCAAAGAGGGTGAGAGGGCTGCAGAAAATGACATGTGGAGTTTAATACAATTTACTGAGCAATTGCGACAACAATATGGAAAAGAACCTCATTCCATGGAGGTAGTTATAATTATTAAAAATTTAGTTCTAAATAAACTTCATGATTCTTTCTGAAATTGGGTACTTCCCTTTTTTTATATGCAGTTATTGCTTAAGAAACTTTATGTGAGGCGAATGGCAGCAGATCTTGGTATTAGTAAGATATATACAGGTGGGAAGACGGTTATTATGGACACAAAAATGAGCAAGAAGGTCTTCAAGCTTATGACAGAATCGATGACCTCTGATATATATCGTAATTGTCTTAATTTCACTGGGAACGAAATTAAGGTGTGTTTGTGATATTACTTTTGTTCAATGAAGCAGAGTCATCCTGGAATGATCATTATATTATTAATTTCATTATTCAGTTTGTATGACATAAATGATAGTATATATTTTCTTCAAAATCTTGGCTTAACAGATGTCAAAGACAATTTTGAACCAATCTCTAAGTAGGTTAATCATATAATTAAGAACATAATATGCATGTTATTATCACTTTATTTTTGAGATCGCTCATTAAGAAATTGCCACAAATTATGACAGTAAGGGTAACTGATGGCTGGTAGATTGCAGTTTGTGAGATGGAACGGTGAGAATTTATTGGGGTTGGCTACAAAAGTACCACCAGAAAACAGGGACATTTGACCATTTGATTTAGCTATATAGTTGTATACATTGTCAATCTCCAGAAGTTCTCACCTGGTTTAATTTTTGACAGAATTCTGTTTCTCCTGTTGAGAAACATAAAATATAATGGCTAAATAAATAAATTTTATGAGATTGAAGAATATAAGTTGATTAATTAATCTTGGTCTGTCCAAATTGGATTATGTGTATCATAAGTTTGTCTGATTGTTCAATTGCGGCATGCCAGTTTGTTTTAGCTGTATGCTATCACATTGTTTTTCTACCACATTCTTAAATTGGAAGTCATTGCCAATTGGAGCTTGATGGTGGAAAATTATTCATCCAATTGACTATAAGGAGTTGAAAATAACATCATCTTGTAGTCGTAGCCCAGTATTTGGTTTTGTGTTGTTTCCTGTAGGTTTTGATCTTTGCTATTTTGTGTCATCTTGGATCACTGTTGTAACTTGACATTGTTATCTGTATGAAATGGATGGCCTGCATCCTCAACAATATATTGAACTTACACTTGCAACTGCTAGTCCAATCTACTTACAATACGTTTGAATTTCATTGTTATTATCCTTTAATTTTGTTGAAGTATGCACATCATCAACTAATTCTGCTTGATTGAAATTCTCTTGCCCCTCTGCAAGAATATAGATTTTATTTTTGTACATTATTTTTGTAATGCAAACCTACAAATCTATACCATATAATAAAAGTTGGGTTTCCTGAAACTGCTCTACCTGTGTTTTTACTATGTTGTAGTATTCCCACGTGTCCTTAAGCTGTGCCACAAAGTTACCAATTAACTTCATTCCATGCTGTTCCCAAAATTTGTCATGTGTTTTCTTTTTTCTGTTCAAAATGAGAGGATTGATTATAAATTACGAAATAAATCTTGCATTGCATGAATCATTATTTATAATGCATAAATAAGATATGCTATCCTCAGAATAAACATATTCCTAATGACATGTCATGTGAAAATTACTAACATCATTCATGTCTTTTTGCATGGTGACGGTGCTTCATGTGTGAAATTTAGAACCTTTACCTCCAACAGAATGTGAAGAATTTAAATCATCATGAAACTCTACAGAAATAGGAAACTTGTGATTTACATGAACCCTCGTTGGCCCAGCTGAATTGTTCTTGCTGGGAGGCTTTGAACTTCCATAACAAGAAAATATTGGTTTCTCATCAGTGACACCTCAGTATTCTCATTAATGTGGATTGGTTGTATTCTTGGTCACCCATGGTTGCTTGTAGTTTAGATCTTACAAACATATTAATCCCTAAGTCTATATATGTGCCACTCTTTCTTGATTTTCACAAAATATTTATTTCAAGGTCAAATAAAACAGGAGTTTTAGTATCAACTTTTGCACTTCCCTAGGAGTTATTGCAGGTCCATTTCGCCAATCTACCTCCTGGCAGATACATTGTCAGAAAAGAGGAAAAGTGCTGCAGATTACTTCTTTTTCCTCAAACTTTGTACTTCGTGATGATTTTTTTAGTTTGTCTGAAAACTTATCTAATAAAACTGTACTACAATCACTAAAATCATTCAAATATTCTTGTAGCATCTTTAATTAATTTACTGAAATTTTCTGTTGTATCATTTTACACGACCCCAATGTTGGATATATCAATACATAGGATTTGGTTTCTAGTTTCTAGTTTTTTATTAAAGTGAGCAGCTATACCCACATATCCTAGACTTTTGGGAAAACTTAAAAAGTCACATGATAGGGACCTTTATTCTACAGTTAATTGCTCTAAATGTATGGCTTGACAATAATCATCTGGTGAATTAAAATTTTGTTCCTGATATGCAGGCTGAGCTTCTTTTGGAGCTACCAAAGGAGCAACTTCTTAACTGGATTTTCCAGTGCCTGGCAGAGTTTTATGCAGTGTTGCCTGCTCTTGTGAAATACTAGTATCTCATATCATAAATAGAGACAAATCTTAGACCTTGCACTGTGATTGCATTGTCGTGGAAATTTATATATAACAAAAAGGATGCCCAACTTTTCCATGAAGATAACATGGTAGCCTGCTGCATTTTACATTTCTGGAGTTCATCACATTGCAAACAAGTTTCTACCGAGAGTTGATGCCAGTTGTACAGTTCATTATACCCCAGAAGCTCATAGCTACATTGTCAGGAATCCTGATACAAGTTCTCTGTGGTCAGAGAATCAAAACAGCTGCCCTGATACATGGACACTGGTAGATGATGCTTTGTTGCTTTAAATTTCTGTAATATCTGGTTTCATCTTTTACTGAGTTCTGATTGTTATTTTTGCAGGAACTTACTGAGTTTGATTAAACTCTAATGCTGCTCCCTGTAATCCAGAGTTTACCACTGAAAGCTGTTTTTGGATGCTAATTCTTTATGGCGATGAGTACCATATGGATATACACTGGAAACTAGTGATGCTACGTCTTTTTTCTCAATTCTCTGGTACCTCTGCTGAACAAGATCCTCAAGTATTCTCTCATTGTAAGTGCTGTTATATTAACTTTTATTATGCCTAGTGGGTATCAATCAACATCTTCGAAACAGCTATTGTATATTCATTCTTATTAACACGAGGTACTGCAAGTACACTGATATTCTTGTTATAGAAAGATTTTTTGGATTTTACTTATACCTAATAGTACTATGTTTAGATCCATGCTACTATGCAATCAGAATTCAACGGAAATTCATATTAAAAGATTCTCATTCTTATTGCTAAATGTCAGTTGAGGATTAAATCTATGCAGTTTGTGTTTTGGAACTTTTATTTGAATTTTTTTGAGCAACCCTCATAGGATGCATAAAAGACAATTACCCTTTCAATGATTTTTCACATGAAAGGTCATCCTTCATGCACTGACATTTTCTTTTATTGCTGCAAAACTAGGATCCCCGCACTTAGTACATGTCTAATTTGCAGTTCTTTCCTTGCAGAGTGGTGTTTGTATTATTATTATATTGTTATTATTTTACAATTTGAACAGCACCATGCAGTAGATTTGGAGTTCGAATTACTTTTGACCATCATGATCTGCATTAGGAAGGCCTACAAGTGACAATCTTTCAAATTTAGATTGATTCATTCGAAAGAGCCCTTAGCTATGGGCTTTGAATGTAAAGTTCCTTAATTTGAGGTTTTATTACTTTTAATTTGTGTGTTTTTGGTAAATGTTATTGCTGAAAATCAGGTTGAGAAAAATTCAAATAAAAGTTACATTAAATCCTCAAATAAGGTTACAGGTTAAAACTTAGCTAGCCATTCATCAGAATATTAGTGTAAGTTGTATTTGTTACTTAGGTAAAGCATTTATTTTGAAGTTATATTTATTGCTAACATAAACATTTAGTATAGACTAGTTAAGAATATAAATAAATAACATTAAATTAAAAAAAATAAATCTACATTGTATTAGAAACTAGTGTAAACATTGTACAGAACTAGTTTAATTGTCCTCAAAACAATTTAGATTTCATTATTTTGAACTTAAATAGTTTATAAATAAATGATGTGTGATATTTTTATAAGTTAGTAAAGTTGATGATTGTTTTTGAAGGATCTGATTCTCTTTGAATTATTTATGCTGAAAATAGATCTGTTACTAACATAAGCAGTTAGTAGAGATTAATGTCGATGATCAAAGAATACAAACCAATTACTTCAAAAGATTAAACACTATTTTTGAAGGATTCTGTTTTACTGTTACCTTATATTTGTGAGAATTTTTCAAGAATTTTCTAGATTTATTTCACCAAAAGACCAAATCTACTCGAACAAGATTTGGCAAAAATTATAATGATTTAGAGGATTATTTTGGTTTTGAAAAGAAGATTTCACACATTTAGAATGATCCGACATCTAGAAATAGCGGTCATCTCCAAGCTTTGTAGATGGAAGATCTCATTGAGCTAAGATTTGTGTATCTTACATGAGACAAAGAAAAGAGGAGGAAAGCTACAACTGTATATTCTTAAGAGAAAGCTCCAAACTTGTTTTTTTCTTGAGAGCTAAAGAAAGAAGCTTTTGTTCCTCGCTTCTAAAGTCTTCAGAGATCTTTCCTCCTCCTGTAAGCTAGTCTTATTCTTGTACGTTTACTGTTAGTCTAGCATGCCTTGCTTATAGACCTCTATAATTGTGAGGTTTAGACTGCCCATTAGAAACTTGTAAAGGTATAGAGCTCGGAGAGGAGACTTGTTTTTCTCTAAACTTGTTCTTGAGCTTGGAAGTGGAAGAAGTGTGAGTTTGTGCTCGAGTATACTTGATTTGGATTTTACTAATGGAAGGAGATAACAGTAATCTGGATTACCTTCAGAACGTAAAGGTACCTAAGAGTCAATGGAACCTTAAGAACTTCTTGCTCTTTGATTTTTATTTTTTTTTCAATTTTCTTTTATTTGTCCATTTACTTGTTCATAATCTTTTTTTATACATATTAATTGTTTATATCGTTTTTATATCCTAGTTTATACAGTAAGTCTCGTAGTGTCTAAATCATCCTTTATTTTTTGTCATTGTTTATTGAAATTCTAAACATAAGTATAATAGGCTGTGAAATCTTTGTTATAGAAGGATTTTATGGGTTGATAAAATTAGATCATCTCATAACATCTATCAATAAGGGGTCATGTATTTCCCGAGGCATAATTTGAAAGTGTAGCTTATTTATCTCTCTCTCTCTCTCTCTCTCTCTCTTTTAGCTTTCTTTTTACCTATCCTCAATTCTTGTCTCACTCTTGGAGGATACCTTTTTCAGTCAAAGAAAGAAATCACTCAATAGTAGACTCAACACCAAGAAGGTTCATCGGAGATCGAAAAGTATTTCCAAGTAAATTTTGTCATACCTACACGGATTCTAGTTTTCCAACCAATTGGTTGCATAGGCTTGAAATTATAATTATAGTTGGATCAATTTATATATCATTATTTGCTGATACTTTTGGAGTATCTATGTTAGGGGATAGATTTTTTTTCTTTCTTTTGTATAATACTAATGCAAAATTTGCTGTGTCTGGGCAAGAGCAGCGAAGGAGGTTTTGCTTAGACCGATACAAAACGGAGAGTACATACTGGTTCAGTTGTGAATCGATATGTGAACTATCCCTGTTTCTGATGGTCCAATCCAATCTAGTAAAATAGTAAAAGAACAAAAACATAGTCTTTCTTGTTGATTAGGGTTTGTGAATGTGAATCCTTTTGCATGGGGAACATGATTTTTGCCTCAAGCATGATTTTGCTTCCTCTTCTTTATTTGTCTCCCTCCTTCGTTGCCTTGTCTTCTTCCTTGTATGTTTCATCCATTGCCTCTTGTTCCTTCATCTTTGTTCGTCATCCTTCTTCTATTTCCTTCTTTTTCTATTTCTCTATTGTCATATGTTCTTTACTCATTCTTCTCTCTTCAAAACATCGATATATATCGAGTCGACCCAGAGAATAATACGAGTCCGATACCTTAAACAAGGTTTGATGGGTAAGAGTAATAATTAAGAGACAAATCTAGTTTACTCAAGAGATCTTATTATCAACAGTCAAGATCTTTATAACCAAGTTAGCTTAGGCAAGAGAAATCATTTTATAAGATTAAAATATAGTATGATCAGAATTTCCTTCCCATAGTTAAAAAAGACACATTAATATGAATGTATGATCAGAATTTACTATTAAGACAAGATTTTCTTATCAACAATCAAGACATTCACTAATCAAATGAATTAACAAAAATTGCACGGAAAAATACAAGTAATAGTTAATAATCAATCTTAGGTGAGCATGGGGCATAGTATCGTAGATCTTTTACAAGCACACATTCCTCCCAATGTTGATTAGGATGCAGGCATAAGCATGTTCATGATACAATGAATGATTCACTTCATTTTCGACTAGCTCTTGCTCTATCCTCTTCGGGGATTATTACCTTCTTAATAGCCCAACATTCTAGCACAAGACTGTAGTATTGAAGTTCGGTTAGATACTCGAATTCTGTTATATACTGGAGAATGTTAGACCATAAAGAAGTTAAAAACTTAACATTTATGTCAACTAAATTAATTTGTACTTTAAAATTTTAGTGAAATTTAAAATAATTATTTAAACAAAAAAGTGAATTACAAGGTCATACTTATGGTTAATACTTCTGTTTAATTTTATGGGGTTTTTTTTTTTTTTTTTTTTTTGTTATGGTGGAGGAGAAGGGAAAAGTGTTGAACTCTTCCATCACAGAAATAGAAAGGATTACGAGCCTCCTTCCACTCTACCCTACCCTGCCATGCCCTACCCCACCCCACCCCACCAGCCCGTGGGACCGCGCGGCGACAGGCTTCTCCCGCTGTCCTCTCTCACCACCCAAAAGAACTCTGCTGTCGGTATCATTATTATTGTTTTCCGTGAGGCAGTTCAGACTGCAATCGCCAGAAAGGCTACGACACCACCAGCGTCCCCCACCCCCTCCCCTCCCCCTCCCCACGCTTTCCATTCCCGGCCGGTTTGGCGCGGTCAAGGACCGATGCCTTGCGCCGAAGCAAGCCCGTTTCGGCCCGGAAAAGGGGGTTGAAAACGAGAGCACACTGCGTCCCACCGCACTCCACCCTTCTCACTTTTGGGGTTCCAACGAAGCAACTCCCCCCCGGATAGGGAAAGCCTCGGGAGAGGACTCCGGAGCGGTCATTGGCGTGCAGACCTCACTCACGGGCAGTGAATTGGGGGATCTCTTTTCCCGAGAATTTTAATCAAGGGAGTTTCTTGAAAGTTGGAGATGCTCTTACTCCGGTGTGTGTCTATTTACCCATTGGGACCACCGTGGGGATGAGTAAATGCCCCCATGGCTTAACTGTTCGGAGTAGATGGATGGAGAGTTGTCCTTCAACGTATCATCTTCTTGCTCCCCACCTAAAAAGAATAGATGCACCACATTTTTTTCTTCTATACAGAAATCCCAACAGTGCTTTTCCTCGTTCAATGTGAAATCTAACCCGGATTTCGGGATTTTATATTTATTGAATCCTTTCCTTGTTAAGTTTTTAGGGTTACCACTCACTCAATTATGTGTATAAATAGAGTTTAAGTTTTGAGGTTACTGATCACCCAATAAATAGTTTTCTATCTGTTAAAATTTTTTATTATCATTGTTGTTATGTCTGAAGCATAGATTAGAGACATCTACTCTTCCGAGTCTCTCCTTATGGCTCTTCTTTCCGATTGACGCTCAAGATTATACCTCCTCCGCTCGCAGAGAGTAGCCAACTTCTCGCTCATCATGTTCGCTACCACAGTCCTCCAACGCGACTCCACCAACATGAGAGCGAGTTTGCACTTACAGCCCACTTGCGACTGCTTGGAGCAATGGTCCGGCTTGCCCCGCCTTGCTCGATTCACCACGGTGCTTGACCATGGCGAGATTGCGAAGTTTCTTCGCTGCTTGCTCGAATTACTTATCTACTCTGATACCACAATGTCACAGACTTAGTTGGAATTGCCTAAGTCGTGAGGCACCCTTGCGGCAAAGTCACGAACTTAACTGCGGTTGCCTAAGTCGTGAAGCCCCCTTGCACCAACTCCTCGGACTTAGTTGGGATTGCCTAAGTCATGAGGCACCCTTGCGACATATGCGTCCGTAAAGGTTTAACCTAGTTGCAACCTCGTACAAGTCCCGAATGACCTGTAAAATAAAAAGTTGATTAGATTGAAAACGAGCGACGGACAAGTCATGATGTCTCGTAAAGAGGAAAGCTTTACAAGCAATTTAGCAAGCACCTTGAGTGCAAGAGAAAAAAGAGAGAAAGGAGAAAACAAAGACTTTAGAAGGTAGACGAACAGTTGCAAGTCCACAAACAATTGGTCATTGGGTGCCGAGCGCGAAGGCAAGTTCCCGTTAAGTTAACGTGTGAACTTGTGAAGATTTTTCAACGCCCGATAATATACCGAAGCCCTATCCAGCCCTGTGCAACCTAGGGGGTTCCAAGGTGCTGAGATGGCTGACGTTTTGGTGTGCTGCTGTAGCTTGCAGAAAACAAGCTGTAGCACGCAAAAATGAAGCCATTTTGGGGCATTTCGGCCTAGCGCGACGAGCGGTCGCACTATAGCATTGTAACCTGTTCGAACATACCTTTTTACAAGCAAAAACATAAAACCAAGGTAAAACAGGCTGCCATGTCTCTGTACAAGCATGCAAAAGCGACGAATGGTTCGTTGAACGAAGTTGTTGCGAGTGCGCGACGACCGTTCGTGACAATACGCCATCGACTGCAACATCTTCCTTTGGCTTATGCCTTTGATTGCAAGCCTCCTCTGCCCTCCGTTGTTGTGTGCAGCGTCTTCCTTCGGCTTACGTCGTTTACCATGAGCCTTCTTCGCCCTATACTGTCATGTGTAGTGCCTTCCTTTGGCTTACGTTGTTGATCACAAGCCTTCTCGGTCCTACGCTGTTGCGTAAAGCTTCGTTTCTCCACCTTGTGTAGCTTATAACATCGATCAACTTTGTTCCTCCATCAGTTACCACCTTCCTCCGCCCTAAGCACCACCGCAATCACGTGAACCCTACTTGAGTCGAAGAATATAACCGTCCTCCAACATGCACTATCGCCTTCCTAGATGCCATACTCGATAGTCTTTTGCAAACTGGTTACTTCTCCGTCTCCCGTCTTTTGCAATCACGTGAATCCTGCTCGCTTGTGCATTTTGTTTAACGATCTCTAATTTCCTGGACTTTGTTAAAATGTTAGGAACTTATGAACACTACTAGATGGGTACACTATTAAGAGTTAGGACATGTAGTACACTTTTTAGGTAGATAAACATAGGGTTTGCTGTACCGGTACGTATTGCTTAGTATGGACGATACATATCAGTCTGATAGAACACCAATACTCAAACTATCCTCTATCGGGCGGTTTCGATCACTTGACCTCTACTCTTAAATTAGAGACATCTACTCTTAAATTTTTTATTAATATCATTGCATCTAAAAGCTTCGACCTATATGGTCTATAATTTTATATGCTTAAATTTAAAAATTAATCGAGAATTTTTTTTTTTTTTTTTTTTGTTGGGAAGCATAGTATGATGGGTTTAGAACATAAAAACCTTCTCCGATATCATCTTAATATGTTTTTATCATTATTATTTTAATCCATATTAATAATAGTATCATATTCATTTGTTGCTTATATTTACGGGGTGGAAAAAAAAAAACCAAGAGAAGAAAACTTGTATAAGATTATGGACCTTTGTTTTCTCACATAAACGAAAGAACAACTCGATCATATCAACTTGGATCGGATCCAATTTAAAATTGCCCATCCTACCCACTATCATCAACAAGTGCAAGATCGTATCAATCAGACAGCGTCACGTGTGCCAATAATTATATGTGCAAAGGGGATATGGTGATACCCACCACCCCACAACATTTATTATCGTATGACAAGACTTGTGAGGTTTCACAAACCCACCCGCAAAGTGTTTTCTAAATCTCCTTTAGCATACATCATCATTCTCCTTAATAAAGCTAATGTGACAGTTGTTAACCAAAAACATTGTAGTAAAAGACTACTTGGTTAGGCATGTGGACCTATCAATTAGGTCACTCTAGATCAGGACATCTCGACTTCAATTATGAGAATCTACTGACCAACTTGATACTAACTTTGGGGAATTATCTTAGTCGAAGTTTTACCAGCATTAATTTTATTGGTTTGTACGCAGGTTTGATTGTCTACTTGGTTGTTGTTCCAAAAGCCAACACTCCATTAATTGCCCATTCCACATTAGGAAACAAGGAATCCAATCTTACTTTTAGCCAAAAAAAATAAAAATTGTAATAGCATATGTGCAAAGAATATATTATATTTTCAGAAGAAAATTAATGCTCGGTCATATATTATATTTTACCGAACATTCTAAAATTCTTAACTATAGTTTTTTTTTCCAACAAGATCAGGATACAAAATTAGAAATGCTTCAGAGAAGATGAAAAATACTTTAAATGCACAACTACTTGGATTTTGATTTTTCTTCTTCTTCTTCTTCTTCTTCTTCTTCTTGTTTTGTAAATGATAAATATCAATAATTTAGAATTTACCCAAACCTTACCATCAATAATTTAGATTTAATCCCAAACCTTACTAGTTAGCATCTCCATACAATAAATAATAAGAAAGTTTGAATTACCTAATTAGTTAATAATAATAAAGTTTATAATATAGAAAAGTTCTAAAAATATCAACAAACGCAAGTTTCTGATAATAAATATACTTTTTCGAAAAGAAAAAATGATGAAGGAAAATATTTAGGATGATTTATTTTTAATGTCGAAACTATTAATTTCTAGTCATGGAACGTTCATCCATCCATTTCTTACTCAACTTAAATTTACTAGCACTAGCAAGAAAACTTTCACTCCCTGCAGTCGAGAAGAACAAAGATGCATCGACCTTACTCTTTTTGAGTTTGGACCAATGGGCTCGAGTAGATCTCTTACAGCCAAGTCAGATGTGGCCTTGCTGTTTGTTGAGGGAATCCTGATGATGCTGCAGCCGAACTGGCCATCACTCGAGGTGTGGCCATGTCTGCGAAGCGTCGTAGCCTATCGCTGCTACCGTTACCCCAGTTCCACTGTCTCTGTCGTCGTTGCTGCTGCTGCTGCTGCTGCTGGTGGTGGCCACCGCCGTCACCGCTGCTGTTCGCAAGCTGCAGCTTTCCATCATGGCAGGCAAAGTAAGTGAGCATGGAAGATTGTGGTTGCTACGGGGACAGAGGTCATCATCATACCTTTGCCTTGCTGTCCATCCCAACACCCTTATCGACCCCACGAGGATCGTCGATATCAGAGTTAGACCTTCCCAAGCTCAGGTCGAGGTTGTGTTCCTTCTTGCCATCTGCAACATTAGATGAGAAGAAAGACTAGACCAAGCATCAAACTGCGAAATAGCAACCGATAACCCACCGCTGGGATCGAGCTCCTCCACGTAGATGCTCGGGTCGAAATTGGTCACCGCATCTTTCCCATAGCATTTAATGGCAGCGTTGTCATAAGCCCTGCAAACCCGAAGCACACGTAAAGCCTCCGTTTTAACTCGTAGCAACCGTGGAACAGAGTTTACCTTGCAGCTTCCACTTCCGTGTCGAAGAGGCCCAAATAGACGTATCTGCTTGAAGAGCAAACGATTACGAGCTTCGAGGGGGGAAAGGAAACAGAGAAGAGGAGCGAGAGAGAGAGAGAGAGATAGATGGATTTGCATACTTCTTCCCCAGGAATTGGCCCATTCTGGCTTCCCATCGGCCGCACTTGTGCAGTGTGACTCCCCTGTACTTGGAGCTCCCTCTCGGGAAACCGGTGCTCTGGCGTCGAAGCACGTGGACGAACTCCTCCTTCGTGAGATTGTTCATCTGCCCACCCACAACCATCGTCTTTCTCAGGAACTGCTCTTCTATGTTTGCACGAGTTATGGCAGCAGCAGCACTCACCTGTTTGATGTCCTCCTCGTAGTCTTCCATATTGAAGTTGATGTCGGCGTCGACGCCGCGAAATTTGATGGCGGCACGGTCGTATGCCCTCGCCGCAGCATGAGCTGTATCGAATCCACCTGTAGGAATTGACGGCGATAAGCCATTGAAGCGGTGTGACGCACGGAGGTTACCACGAAATCCATCAGATGCTTACCCAAATAGACTTGCTTTCCGCAATCCCTGCACGTAAATGATGAAACAGTACATGAATTCGTTGATGTCTGCGAAGCGAAAAAGGAAGATGAGAAAGGAAGAAGGGAATTGGGCTAACCATATGTGTGACTCCCAGCGGCCGGTCCTCCGGTAGAATGTGACGCCGCGGTACTGCGAGCTCCTCGACCGCGGCCCTCGCCGGCTCTTCTTGGCGGGCTGAGACGCCTCCACCGCCGTCTCTGTCGCGGTGGCGCTCCGCTGCGGTGACTGCCCGAACTGGACGCCGACCCAGTGCGCAGGTGGCAACGAGCTCTCCGCGGCGCCGCCGCCGACGTCGCCTGCTTCCATGACTTCGTCTAACGGGAAGAACTGCCGCGTGATGACGGCGGGTTCGCTGTCGGCGGAGCAGCTGCCTTCCACGTGTTGGAGGCCGCGGCCGGTGACTGTGAATCCGAATATCTTGCAGTCTCCGTCGGCCTCGACGGCGGAGGAGCTGGAGTTGTCGTAGCAGCAGCGGTCGTTGTCGGTGGACACCGTCTCCGGCGCTTTTCCTTTGTTGTCCTCCTCAGCATCAGTAGCTGCGTCCTTCATCTGATCCGGCGAGTCGTTTAGATTCCACATCGTCGGCTTTGCCCTCCTCCCCTCCCTCCTCTGCACTTTCTCGACCTCAACTCCTACTAAATACAGCAGACAGAACACTTGAAGACCGATTTTTTATTTTATTTTATTTTAATCTTTCTCGCCTCAAGATCTCATCTTTCACCTCGCAAAAGAGAGGAGGAGGGTTCGATCATCCTTCTCCGGTGTCTGGCTCCTCCTCGAGAAGCAGCAGACAGAACCCCTCAAGATGGAATTCTTTTCTCTTACTTGCGTTCAAGATATCTTCTTTCAAGGATGCGGGTTCAATCTTCCTCCTCCGGTTTCTTGCTCTTCCTCGAGAAGTAGAAAACTAGAAATAGCCTTCAACCGGTACTCAAACTGCAGCAGACAGAACACGTCAAGATCGAATTTTTTTTCTTTTTTATCTACTTCTCTTCTCGTCTTCAAGATCTCATCTTCCACCTCGCAAAAGAGAGGATGCGAGTACAATCTTCCTTCGCCGGTCGCTTGTCGTGTTATCGCAACAGGAACTTTGCAGTTGTGGAATCCAAAACCTAGGACAGGAGACAGAGGCAAAAAGAAGAGCAGACGGGGAGGGGGGAAGCTGATGACCAGAGGGAACCCAGTTTTGCCAAAGTTAGTGCCTCCCCCCCCAACCAGTGAAACGCTCCCAAAACACACCTATGACGCATCCAAGAGGAGCACCACCACATACATTTAAGCACAATGGAGTGGAAGCGCAGTTATACCTCGGCGATCTGTTCCCGTCAAACATACAAGCAACGTTCTCCATCCATCCATGAAGTCATTTGCTTGTTGGGCTCCGCCTCTCCCCTTGTGCTGATGGGGAAGAAGGAAAGAAGACGCAACAACCATTACGCAGCCTAATCCCACGTTAACCAAATCGAAAAGCCAGCCCTGATTTGGAATTGCCTCTCGTGGTTTCTTACTCTTTCTCTCACTGCCATGAAAGGAAGCAGTTTCCCCTTCGCACGCCTTGGCAGGCAAGTGTGGCAATCACGCTTTGCCTCTTCGACATGGCATGTTGATCTCATGGCACTACTTGCGAATTGGTAGGATTCAATCGAGAATGCATTCTACTAAGGGCAACACCGAAGTCCGATTTGACTCGAGGTTACGTCTGCAGATTAATCTCAGCTTGATTCGAACAGACCGAAAGGCTGTGATCCCAATCGAGTTTGGGGTGGTGGTCTTCTGAGGTTTCCATAGGAATCTTTGGAGTGTTGGTGATGAATATGGTCGTGCACCAACGAGTGATTTGGGTCTAATCGACACCTCTCTCTCTCTCTCTCTCTCTCTCTCTCTCGGTTCAATTGAGCCAAGTTTGGTTGAGTTAGAATGGAATAGGAGAGTTAGGATGAGACAGTAAGTAAAGACAAGTGGACGACTCCAAATGGCCTCACCGCATTTAAAAAAAGTCATGTGGGCCCCGCGCCCCGTTTGCTTGCAAAGTGATTGGGGTATTCAAAGCAAGACGCCATCTCTCGAAGTCTCGTCTCACAAGTCTTAACACCTAAAAAGTAGTCATTGCTCGTTTACCAAATGTTAATTGTCCAAAATATCATCCGATAAAAGCATAATGAGATAGATTTAGGACACGAAATCTCATTCAAAGAATTTTTGAAGATGATAGCCCAACTATCTATATAATGATGTTTCAGAAAAAAAAAATCCATATTTAATCACGGCAACAGATACCATTATCATCTTCCTCTCCTCGGCCCATTAAATAGTGGAAATGTGAATATATGCTCTTCTTCTTCTTCTTTCTCCTCTTTTCTTTGTCAGTCTTCCTTTTCCGCTTGCTTGCTGCTCTTCTCCCATATTCAATGTCTACCAAATGAAAAAGAAAAAGACATTAGTTCGTAAGCAACCACGTCTCAATTAGACAAACCCAAATACCGACGACATGGCCTCCTCTCCTTGTTGATCTAAGAAAAAGAACACCACTATTAGCGAGAGAAAGAAGAGACACTGACATTCCAATCCAGCCCCAAGTAACTATAATTGAGGTATGGAGTCGAATAGGAGGGAATGGGAAAATAATGGTGACAAGACCTATTAACTATAATTGAGGCATGGAGTCGTCGAATAGGAGGGAATGGGAAAATAATGGTGACAAGACTTATTAACAATAACCTCTACCAACTATAGGTCAACTTAATGAGCAAGAGACCGAGGGTATCAAATGCATTAACGTGGGAGGAAACCTAAGTTTTGGGCTTACTTACCTTCAACATCATCAACACACGAGAGCTATGAGTACCTTTTAGCATCGATGCACATGACATGGTCAAATTTGGCCCTTCTTCCAATTTGACAAAATTGATTCCATCCATCAAGTTCGAAAGAGGAAAGAAAGGCATTACTGAGGATTCAAACATTGGATATTATAAAAAAAAATTTCCAAGGTACCACCCCTTGTAGAATTCTGTCTTTGTTGGATGAGTTTTGAACAAAAATATATTTGAGAATGTTATTTTATAAAATATCAATCTTATAACCATCGATTTAATAAAAAAAATATATATTCTTTTAAGTATCATACTAATGTGTCATATGCCTAAAGGTTCAAAAGCCATGTGGCATGTTGATAGATCGAATCTCGACTGATCGAAAACAATAATCATATCAAAAGCCCATGTGGCATGTTGTTGATAGATCGAAAATAATCTAGATTTGATTGATCGAAAATAATAATCATATCAATAACATGCTTTCTTAAACTGAAGTGTAGTTTGAACCAACCAAAACTTTGAAGATGTAATTTAGATGGTAACTATCCCTCTCTCCTAATCATGTCTTATGATGATAAGACTGCCAATCTAATAAAACTGAAAAAAAAACGACAAACAAATGAACACTTTCAATTCTTCTTCTCACAAGCAAATATGTTAAGACCAACTAACGTGAGTTGCACCAACCACAACATAGAGCAATCATATGCAAATGGCTACCAGAAAAAAAAACAAAAAACAAAACTCATCAAATCAAAGCACTTATTTCTGCATTCAACGAAGAAATAATTCGAGCAGCATCGAAAGCAAATGTGTTTCACACGTGGGCAGAAGTCACTTCCAAAACTTAACAAAGCTTTCCATCACATGAAAAAGGAAAAAACCAAGTGTTACTGTTTTGTCTCCTCATGCAGCAGCTCTATGTGCTACTGACCTCAACTTGTATACCATACCCACAACATCTGAACGTATCCGTAGCATAAACATCCAAAGTTCTAATCTAATATACGATGTTCGTTATAAACATAATCTCCATACACTAAATTTAACTAGTCCAACCAGCTAGTTAACATGTCCATGCAACTAAGACCTATGAAACAAAAGATCTCATGATTGGATTGAACGTTCAAGAAAAAAGATTTAAGCATCAAATTTATCACATGAATTGTTACAAATTGCAGTCAACTGTTATATACAACTTACATGTATGTCAAAACCCCAAAATATCTAATTTGATGCACTCCGTCCATAAATGACGAGTGAGCACTTACCTCATTCGATGGAACAAGAGTTTCTTGCTTAGCGTATGCACACTTGAAACAGATTAGAGATTATTAGCTTCGAGGTGGTCTCTCACCAAGCTCAACCAAGTCGGGCAATTTTCAACTTCATATTTCAGAATCATGCACAGGATTCCTGCGCTGAACAAAACCTACAAGTCACTAAACTTGTATCAAGTGAATATAAACAGACTTATCATCAAGGTATGAATATCAACACTCATCTTGGGAACTTATTAGACCGGTAGGTAACCGATCAGTAGGATCATTACACCTTGGTACATCCGGAAAAAGGTTCAGAATTTGTTTAACTTGCCGATAGTAATCACTATGACCAGTGTACTATGTATTAGTCCAATATTGAACCTATATGGTAGGGCCGGTAACAATTGGTATTATGTGGTTTTTGAGACCATGCAAAACAATTACAAAAAGGCTCCTGCTTATACTGAAAAATTAATAAAGTAAGCTGGTAATAGTGGGATATACAATTTTAAGTTGTAACCAAGAATTTAGCATGCAGCCTGTACTCAGCACTGCCTGAAGAGACAGGCATACAATATTCTGTTGTATCAAGGCATGCCAACATGCTGCAAGTTTGGCAGTGCCAAATAATACAAGACTCCAACATGTCACAGACACGTAAAAGTTCACTTCAGTTACAAGACATATAACAGAAAATTTAGAGCATGGAACAGCCTTTATAATAATTACTTTTAGGAAAACAACAAGATGAAGCATTAGCATGGAACCCATAGGCTTCTACTGTATCACATTAGTCATCACCTTCCTACATCTACCAATCTGACTTATGCGAGTCATTACCACCTCAAATAGGTTCTGGTATAACTCTTCGTTTCTAACAAGTGTTGACATTCTTTGAGGTCTTATTGCAGTTCTCTCAAGATACAAACAAGGGGAGCAACCTCTTCTTCTCACTATAGGAGTCCCCGGAGACTTTTATAGCTCTTAATAATTCCTGAAAACCCATCTGCTAATCATGAACCCAAAGTAGCCTTAGCATTAGTATTTGATGTTTTAGACCAATGCTATTTGGAGTCTGAAGCCACTTAAGACATCAATTAGCATCCTCTACAGTTACTCTCCATTTTCCAGCAAAAAAATAATCTTTTTGCTCTCTAGTTTAGATCTTTGGGAGATCTTTCTCTTCAAATTGGAGAAAAAAATTCTGGTTTGAGGAATAAATCCTAACATGTAACTCACAAGTCCTATAGTGTCTACAGACATCTGGTTCTCCAAATCCAGGTACTAATCACTTACAACAAATATACCATACAACAGCATATGCTGCCTCCTTCGACGTGACAAACGCAGTTGCCACCTCCTCCCCCGATGATCTCCTCTGCTGATGTTGTCGGCCCCGACGACTTCTCTCAATCGACAGTGCAGGCCCCCTCTCCCCCTCTCTTATTTCTCTCTCCTAGCCCACAGTGCCCCCCTCTCTCCTGAAGGTGCAGGGCCATCCCCCTGCCCCCCATCTCTCCCTGCTCTCCCCTGTCTCTCTCTTCCCCACTCTCAGCAATCCCTCTCTCTCTCTCTCTCTCTCTCTCTCTCTCTCTCTATATATATATATATATATATATATATATATATATGAAGGCACATCCCCTCCCAGCCAACTAAGTGGCACCGTAGTAGAGACAACATTCTTCGTCATTGCCTTTGATCTTAAATCGAACTCCGCTGCTCCTCTTCATCACCTCTTGCACTGTGTCGGTGTAGCCTCCCTCTTGATTGTTGATCTTGCGATTGTTACTGCTAGTCCTTTGGATTGTTACTGTTGTTTTGTGATCTTAAATCATGACAATCATAGGTAGTATCTTACTCTTAGTGGTTAAATGTATGTAATTCTAAGTTTTTGGGTGATATTTTGACTATATAAAATGTTATTAAACTCATATATCGTCTACTTTTTATTTTAATGATTATTTTTATCATTAATTATATTTTATTATGATTTTTATATTCACAAGTGTCTCACTTCACTCAAGCAAGTGTCTAAGGTCTTTTGACAATATATATGTGCGTGTGTGTGTGCGCATCCTTTTTGCAAGTAGTACATATAAAAATAACAAAAGGGCTCAGGCTACAAAAGAAATATGTCTACATATATCATAATAATTTGACTGAAACTGAAAGTACCTTTTGGCACTCAAATGTATGGATCCTCCTCCTCTGCCTCGCTATCCCATAGCAATTCATTGTTGGGAGTTGGTGATCCAAAGCTTTGAATCCCCTCATATCCAAATTCCTCCCCAAAAGTTCCTTCACCGACAACCTCCTCCTCCGAAAATGCTGAAATCTCAAGATCACCCAATCTGGAATTCCCAATGACAATCTCATCAATTACCACGTCTAAATCCTGCAATTCACCATCCTCATAGAAACCAGCAGATGCAAATAATCCTTCCATGTTGTCATCAGCATCGTAATAACTATTCGCCTCCTCCCCATCCAAGAATTGTGCCCCCCACCCTGACTG